GCTTGGTGTCGCCCGCACCACGCTCAGCCAGTGAGCGCACCGGCCAGTCCTATATAGGATCAGAACCCACGGCGGGAGCGGCGCTGCACTCCCAGCGCTGCACTCTCCTGAGTGCGCCACAGGGTCGGCCTTAAGACAAAATTTTGTTTTCCAAATAGCTGTGGCACCTATGCAATGTCACATGCACACTTACAACCTGCTGTGAAACCATGTCTGCTTAATCTGAATCCAAGTCAAGCACAGATGGAAATCAGCTCAAAAGCCCCCCAGGCAGAGGGGGAGGCTCACACTGGATAGCTCGGAGCCGGGGGATCACCGGGGGGCTGCTGGGTGGGCTGGGACTGCTGCTGTTCAGACTCCTCCTTTTATCCAAGTTGGGGGAGGCCTGCACGGTTATCTTGTGCTGGAAATCTGTTGGATTCAGAAGAAAGTAAGAATCGGTGAGTCACGGTTGCAAGTGATTTTCATAGCCATGTCTTGAGCTCATGGCCATAAAAGCAAAAATTACCAGACGGGAACTCTCAAGTATATTTAGAGTTGGTTTCTTACATATCAGGGTTCAAGTCAATAAATAATGATTCAGAGCTTATGCATTAGGGACAGTGACACACACACCCACGCACACACATACATAGAAAAATGCAGTGTTACTGAATCCTTGGAGAACAAGGATTCTTGGAGAGCAATCCATCACTAATGCATGGATTTTGAACCAGTAAGGAACTGCTCTGAGCCTGTCTCCTGACCTGTTAAATGTGAACAACGATATTTTGCAGGGTTGTTTTGGTGATTAAGACAGAAGAAGTGGGTTAAAAGCATTTCGTGATCAAGACAATAGCTATGATTTCCTAACTGTAACATGGCAGAGATATGCCGAGGACGTGGAACTCTACAGAAGAGCGAGCAGAATTACTGAAGGGAAGGGGACAGTGTCTGGGAGGACTTTGTAGACTCCCAGGAAAATTACCGTGAACGTGGACACAGGTAAAAGAAATTATGGGGCGTTTTTTCCGTGCAGTGCTGAGCTTAACTCCTGACTGATTGCTTTTCTATTGACTGGGCTATTTTTTACAACTCAATAGGAACAGATGTTAACTTATAGATTTTGCCTGGTGATGATGCAAACAGTTTCTGTCTGGCAGAAAAGACAATCCCAAAGTTTATGGTTTATTGCCATACTGGGCATTAACCAGGTTTGTATTTAACCCAGTAATCTACTCCTGACAGTCCCTTATTAAATTGCCTATAAATACCTAGCCCCTCAAACTCTCATTTGAATGGTTTTATCTGGGTCTTCACTAATTAGTTAGTTAAAATCTTTGACACGATTTCCATTCCACATTTGCAAGAGAGCTCTAATGCACCTTTCTGGAAATCATACTAGAACCACCTGGTACTTGAGATGAGCAGGAGTTGAGATTTGGTAGGCAGATATCTGTCCAATTATTCATGCTAGAAATATGAAGTTTTCTTCACACTGTCTTCTCCCTGACCTTGCATATCCATCAGCACAAAACCTCTTGTAAATTCTGTGATATATATTCATCTTACAGTCACAGGAGAGGTACTTAAAGTCCAGGTTCTACCACTTACTAGCCATATAAATTCTGGGAAAGTAACTTAACTTCTTTGAGTCTCAGTATCTTCATTTATAAAAATGGGGAAAAAAATGATTATTGCTATTTCATAGGACCTCTATAAAAAAATTAAATACAGAACCCCGACAAGGACCTAGCCCAGGCTGAGGATGCAACAAACGCTTATTCCCATCAGCCATCCTTTCTGTCCTCTCTGCCTAGGTCCTGGGGTCAGCACACTTCTTCTGTAAAGTGACACACAGTAAACACCATAGGCTTGGTGGCCTGTAAGTTCTGTCACAACCAGCCAGCTCTGCCGGTGTAGCAGAAAAGAGTCATAGATGGTATGCAATGAATGAGTTCCAGTAAAACTTTGCTTAGGGATATTGAAACTTAAAACACATTCTATGTCAGGTGCCACCAAATATTATTCTTTTGATTTTTTCCGAGTATTTAAAAGGGTATAAACCATTCTGAGCCCACGCGGCAGGGTTTGCTGGTCCCTGATCAAACCTCACTGGTTTTTGTTCAGTCCCTGGAAGAAACCAAACTTCCTGGGCACGGGTCTGTCCGTCCCCCGTATTTTGTGAACTCCTGAGTCTCAATTGAAGTGCTGCTTCTGTAGAAAGCCTTTTAGGGTCTCCTCGGACCACTTACATCTCCCCGCCCTGCTGATCCTTTCCCTCAGGGTGGTAAGTAATTATTACAAGCTAATCAGCACATCTTTAATCATTAGCTTCAGGTCTCCCCCAATACAACTGTAAGCTCCCCATGGGGAGAGACTGGGACAGTCTCCATCACATGGTATCCCGCTCCAAACTGGCACCATGCCTGGCACACAAAAGGTGCTTAGAAAACTGTGCTCAATGAGTATTTTTCTTTTTTCTGTGAAAATTGCAAGTTACATGAGTGCAGAGACCATATGTACATTACAACCCCTAGTACTTGGGAGATCCTCAAGTGTTTGTTGAATGAGGAAGTTAAGCAAAGGTTATCAACAGGACCAAACCGGAGCTTCAGTTTAGCTGGTGAAAGCAACAGCAGGTGTGGGTAACTTGGGAGACCATGCGGACAGAAACAAAGAACTAAGTGAGAGGCAGCTTCCATCTAGCAAGGAAGAAATTATGAGATGGGCTGGCCCGGTGGCGCACTGCTACAGTGCGCCGCTTGGGAGCACGGTGGCACTCCCACCGAGGG